GGGCGGGGGAGCAGCTCGGCTCTCAGGGTGCTCGGCAGCGAGGGTCGTCTTTGTAAGCGTAGAAACTCCTGGGAAAAGGTTACCGATAACAATTTACTAATAATACGGACGCTTTTTTAAAAAAATAAACTGCGAGCCCCAAGCGGCCTCCTCTTTGCCTCCGTTCTCAGCCCCCCTCGTCAGGCCAGCCACCCTCCCCGGGCAGGCTGGCGCTGGGAAGCGCAGCAGGCCAAGCCGCGAGGAGGACCGACGCAAGGTTCACCCGGTTTGGTTCGCCCTGAGGACACGCACCCTTCGACAGCACATCTCTCGCCATTCACGTACCTGGTGTTTGCTTTCAAATACGCCTGACCCCAGTAAATTGGATTGTCCTCCCTCGCTGTTCCCAGAAAAGACGTGGGAGCCAGCTTTACCCTCACGGCTGGCTTGAGGCCACAGTGGTTCTTCGCTCCGTGAGGAAACCCCTACCCCAGCCTGCTGGGAAAACCCCAGCACCCAGACCCTCTGGGGAGGAGAGATCCGGGGGTGGCCGCAATATCCAGAAATACAACATGCTGCCTGTGGACGCGTGGCAGAGGTTTGACCGAGCCTGACTTGCCCCAGAAACTTGTCTGCGCCTTGAAACTATGCAAATATGTTCCCTCTTTCGTTGCTTCCTTCTCTTGTTGCTTCCCACGGTCTCTCCTGAAGCCAAAGAGGCAAAGCCTCTTCCTAGCGAGACCAATGACATGAATCCTCCACTGCAGCTTCATGTAATGCCGTGTAAGTGGGGTTTCTCCTGTCTTAATGTAGGCATGCAAATCCATCTCTGAACGCTGCAAACTTCTACACATACTTCTAGGGGCAAAGACATTCTAGCGAAACATCTCAACCAGCCTCTAACAGTTCGGGTGCCTGCCTTAAATTCATGTAGTGGTCAGCCTATAAATATTTCCCAGGCTTCTGTGTGAGCATCACTCCCATCTTTCCTCAAAGGAAATTAATGGCCTGTGACCAAGTTCACTCACCTATGCACTGTTAAGCTTTGGGGTTTTTTGTTTTCTCTCTTTTAAATGCAACAGAAATCTATGAATATTTTATATTTTTCTTAAAGTACTTGATTAGAAGAAAGCCTAAAGTTCATTCTGAAGTTCCTTGGTAACACTCAGCTTAAAACAACGGGAGCAACATGTTTGAAATGCTGTCCAGCAGTGTGGTCCTCCACACAGGTTTGATCCCCAGGCTCCTGTTTTTCTCAGGTATGTCAGAACTCACCCAGCTACCATGTTGGTGTCTGCCTACAGCTCTGATACGGCAGATAAAAGAACCAAGAGAGGCAGTGGTACGGAGATCTACTCATCCAGGTGGAATTGCTTCCTACCAGTTAACTAGCACAAGAAACATAAAACCTGGCCAAACTGAGCTTAGATTGCCTGTAGAGGCTCTCTGTTGTGACCAGCCGCAGGGTGATGTTCATTCTTTCTACTCTATGAGCTACGTGGGACACATCTTACATGTTTATTAGCTATATGAAGGTTTTGGTGTGGCCAACTTTGACATATACTAAGCAATCAGGAATATAAATAAATACGTTTTAAATGTTACTGTACAGTCTATGATGGAATGCTTGGCTATAAAAAAAAAAAAATAGGCAATCTCTTCTGAGCCTTCAAGCACCTGTAAAAATCTGTGACTGCTCCCAGTTCGCAATCTGTGCTAAGAGTTTGTTTATACCAGAAATAGCAAGAAGTTAAACAAACCCTTGAGGAGAGAAAGACAAGGTTCTCTGTGCCGCTCAAGGTACTTCAACAGACCCTGGCAGTGGAAGAAGATCCAATGAAACTGCCATTGGGCTATTGTAGAGTTTGGATCCATCGGCAGGCCTTCTTCCCTTCTCTGGAAAGGGCAGAAGGAATTGGCTGACAGATAATGTGGCAGAACTGCGTAAGTACAGAGAAAGGAGCTATTTTCAGAACACTGAATTCCACAGGGAGATTGGCATTATCCAGGGAATGCTTGAGGAAACTGCTTCAACCAAGAGCCATTCATTCCTTCCTCCCAGGGCAGAAAAGGTGTATTTTCTACTGAAGCAACTAACAGCGGAGACTAATGTTCCAGGTCCAAAACAAAGCAAACCAAGATGCTCTCTGAGCTGAACATTAATACTGCCTTCCCAGCTTCCTAACATAAGGCAAGTTGTCTGCTCTGCAGGGGTCAAATTCACTTGTGTAAAGTCTGAACACAAGGAGACAGATCACAAATTCAGTGGGAATAAAAAGGAAGAAGCATGCTACCTACACTTATACGCTAAAGTGTATAAAATTCAAATTACTTTTCTACTATTGTTAACATCCTCAGACCCAGGACTTGCTCTCCAAGCAGTATGAGGAAGAGACAAAGTAAATCTGCTTTTCTGGAGCTGTTACTTTATCCTTCATTTTACCTCTTCCTCACATTGCCATGTCTCAAAAGCAAAGCACAGCACCTTACTGGGACCCAGGGCTTCAAGGCCATGCTGCGCCCACCCTGCTAGCATTAGATTAATTAAAACATTGAGCAACTACTGTGGGTTTGCAAGAGGAGCAAAATCCTTAAGCCCTGTGTTTCTAGACCAAATAACTAAAGTAAAAGCTTTCCCATTCTTCTGTTTTCCTGGAACAATTGCAAGCTTGCTCAAAAAGCGCAAGAGAGGGGGAAAAACACAGGCTACGTACATGAGCCCCAACTTGTTTTGTGTTTATCAGCTGAGAGAGGAGAATGCTTTGAGCTCCGCTTCTGCTTCTCCCCACTCCCCCCAGGATCTCCTGAAGAGTTCGAAGTGCAATAATTAGCTAAAATAATAATAATAAATAAATAGGAAGTGAACATTTTCAATAAGAACATGGACATCATCCGTGGAGCTTCTCACAGTACCTTTTTGTCCCCTCCAGGCCGCAGGCTAAGCTGGGCTCAGCACAGCTGCGGGCCTGGCTACCCATTTCTCACAGATGATATGGCAGAAAGTCCCAGCCACACGAAGCGAGAGGGGAAGGTGGTCTGTGCGTGGTGGAGGACAGCCCCGTTTAAGGTGTCTATACCCTGTTTCAAAGCATGAAGTGTTTGGCAGCAATAGGAGACCCAGCTGTCCACACTCGCTGTTGTTTCTTCCCAAAAACTGCTCTGCACGCGCAGGCAAAACAGGAAACCAGAGCGGGGTTTAAGAGCTTTCTCTTTTCTTTCTTGAGCCCTCGGGTAGCCATACCAGGACGAGACAGAAGATGGCACTCGAACAGCACCAGATGAACAACCATCATGCTTAACACCTCCAACAGGGCCCAGAGTTAAGAGTACAGAAAAAAACCAAAACCAGGAAAAACTGAACAGCCACTCAGCCGGGGGGTAAATGTTTTCATTATCAAAGCTTCAAGTTTACCATTAATGTTAATGTTTTAAACTTTGGACTGTAGAGGCTAGACATGTTAAACAGTAGCTGCTAGCTGTACTCTGGCTCAGTTCACAATACAGCCTGGTACTGTAGTTAATGTTTCTCTTGGAAATAAAAAGCAATCTTGCACTTGATTCCATGTGAAAATGCCATTTGGGTGTGACCACCCTCCAACTTGCCATTGTACAGTCGGTCACCACTAGTGAGGAAACTGCGCAGAGCAGCTGGGTAGGTTCACAGCCGGGTCTGAGCTCTCCCACCCAGGAGGTCCCTTGTGGTCCTGCAGCAGCTGGACTGTGACCTCTTGTATGAGGCTTGCATGAAGAAATGAGCGGATCATCCTTCCAAGTGGTCACCCATGTTCTGAGGGTTAACTTTAGCTCTCAGCTTTCTACACGTAAGTGTTTTCATATTCAGTACTGGAGCTAGTATTACAACTTCCTCGAAACGTCACATGTCGTACCGCTTTGTAAAGGGGACAGCTTTGCTAGGTATAAGAGAAGACTGAAGGAACTCAGGGAGGAAAAAAAGACTAGACTTCTAATGTTATCTTTTAGCATTTACTCCCTTTTTTAAAAAGAATTACAGGTTGATAGATTAGCCAGGTTCATGAAGAACCAGAGTTACAGAAAGATCATTCCTCTAATGTGTTTAGAAATAGATCAGACAGATTCCTATTTTACAGATAGGAAAGTGAAATAGCTTTACTTTTCTCTATAGGCACATTTTTTTCCAAATTTGAGAACTCTTGTAACAGCTGCAACACTAAGAAGCTTCAGAGACCACAAAGGTCATCTAAACCAGATAAACCCAATACAAGTAAGCCAGAATTTAGAGAGCTTAATAAACCAGCTCTCTGTTTCCTAGAGCCGTTCACTGACGACAAGCTCTCTCCTTTTTCTTATTGCCAATGAATATGGTCATACTGCATAAAGCAACATACCTGCACAATAAAGACGTGTTCTTTCCCTGAAAGCTATCTTCTAGCTGCAGTAGAGCACAAACTGTGTTATCTCTGCAGCAGCAGGATTCAGAACCCCATTGTGTTAGGTCCTCTTTGAAGGCAGGAAGACAAAGCCCCACACCTCAATGAAATCACCTTTGGCCACATAACGGATGTCTGAAGCTGAGGTTAAGGCTCCCTCCAGTGAAGTGAGCAGCGTTTTCCCCAGGCTTCAGGGTGCTGAGTGGTTAAAGGGGGCAGAGAAAGAACAAACATCTGATCGTTCCACCCCCACATCTCTTTTGTAAGAGCTCTTCTGCTCCTGTAGAGATATGCATCTCTCGCCTGGAGACAACACTGCAACAAAAAAAAAAGAGCTGTGGGTGCTCACACTAGCTAATGCAATCAACCCCCTTCCACAGACATGCCAGCTTATCAGTACTAGTTGTTTGCTCCAGTCAGAGACAGCATGCCTACTTGCAAACAAGAAGCCTTTGCCTCTGTATCTATACCGTCCCTGTATGGGGCAGGAACTTTTTTTTTTTTTTTTTAATTCTTCATACAGCACTTACCACCATTGGCCTTCTGTCCATAACCCACACTATAATTAGGAAAAGGGGAATCGAGCAAGATTTGAACACTTCTATGGGATCCAGACTGCTTCTAGAAGGTGCAAGCTCCTGGACAGCACTGAAATAGCTGATGTAAAGTCTCCTACCCTTATTAGGTAAACTGTCTTCCAAAATCTCTTTATGTTAGCCCACTGTTTACTACTTGTGGTCAGATTACCTGGCATGCTGATAACTCAGCTGTAGAGGTGCTTGACCATTGCCCTCCCAACACGGTGTCCAGGAGGGCTTATTTTCAGACAGGGAATTTTGAAAATAGCTAGATGCAACAGGTCCAGCGTTGTGCTTGACCCGCTAATTGTTTCCCAGCGCTGGGAGGCTATCACAAAGATGCTGAGTAGCTGCGTAGAGATCCAGCCTGGACGCAGCAAGGCTAAGCCGCAGGTAGCAAGTTGTACTGGGACCAGACTGCCCCTGCGCAGTTCACATTGTCTACACTACCCTGCCTGCTAGTACTTCATTCCAGCCCTCTGTTATGCTGGAGGGTGGAGAGCTGGCTGTACCATATATGCACAATATTCTTATTTATGAAAAAGGAGCTTTTTTTTTCCTAGAGGTTGCTTGATTACAGGTTAAGGAAGAGGCTGAGTAACTAATTAGCATAGCACAGTTGGTACAAAAATCTGTTTACTTCCCGAGTGGGATTTGAACCTACGTTTTCCAAAGATGGTATTACCCCTCTAATACTGCCAGATGGACATCGATAGCCAGAGGAAACTAGACACAGCTCTCTCTTAAGAGGTCTGTGGCCCAGCATACCCTGGGCATGAGGCTTACAACACCACCACAGTCTATACCTTATTGCCAGTTCATCAGAGTCACACAGAAGGAGCCAGAGAGGTCACACTTAAGAGAAACACAAATTGGCTCCACATCACAGGAAGAGAAGATTGTGCTTTTTGATGATGTGCCAGTATCATGCCTTTCTCAGACCACAAACCAAGGCCAGAGTCCATATTTATGTACAGACAACTGTCACTGGCATCTTTTTCAACCCTGAGGGTATTCAGATAATCTATAAAAATCTTCCCTGCACCATCAGGCCAGAGGAACTCTTCTTCTACTCTGGAAAACACATCTTCCCAGAATACTTCTACTCACGATTTCAGCTGACCTATCCGTGTACCTGATGCAGCTGCCAGAACATGCTACCACATTTGATGATGATCTTATTCCTTCATCTGACAGCTACAAATACAACAGATGCATCACCAGACAATGGCATCGATGGAGGAAACAAAGCACAGATGTACGTGAGAAAAATCAGGGTTTTAATGATAAATTAGCAGGTAAGAAAGATAATAAAGAATCAGCGAGTTCTGTTTGACCTATTTAGGATCTTTCCCACGTCAGATCCTCAGTCTTCAATTAGATGGTAGCTATCATGGGAGAAAAGTGTCAGCTTTAGGACTTAAGCACTCACCAGTAGCATTAGTCTGAAAGCAAAGTTTGGGATCTCATTCTTGGCAACACTCAGCAATTTTTTCTGATCGGCTAATGACTTATTTTCTCTCATTCAGAATAAGTGTCTGTGGAGTACTCAACACAGTCCTTGGAAGCGATGCATCACCACCCAGCTGTTCTATGGCAGTTTTCAAGTCACACAACCAATTTTTGGTACAAGAATGGAACTACATTTCCACTTCAGCCTTGATCTTCAGTGCTGACTCGATTTCCAGTCCACTCTCAAGACTGCTCACGCAACTGATACGTTGCTGCTTTATGTTTCATTAAAAACAAAGTCACTCCGTGTCCTGAAGTTGCTTACAAATTTAGAAGTCCACTTTTAAAAAAGCAAGCTGCTTTGTGACCTTGGCTGTGAAGCATGAATCCAGTTTACAGTTTTCTTTCACTTTAAAACTCCAGCCACTCTGTCATATAAACACAATTTGATGGAGAAATCTCACCACCTTCATGGCAATCATCAAAAACCTGCAAAAGAAAGCCCTGTGTCAGTAATTATATACACCAAGCACGATCTAACCAGAAGTAACATGCTTGCATGTTTTCTGCTCCTTCCCCAGTGGAAAAGCAGTAGTCTAACAGAGGCCAAAATCTAGGAAGTCCTACGCCAGCTCTGAGGAAGAGAAGCAAAAGAGACCCCACTGTAGTAAATGATGCAAATGGACGCACTGGCAAGTTTTACCTACATATCAGTTTACAATCCAAGCAGGAGGGACCAAAAGCTAGACAAATAAATTAGCTTGTTAAAAAACATAAATAAGCAAACTTGGGATCAGAAAATATAGAAATATAATTTGGAACAGTCTACACTTGACAGCACCCTTTCCCATACAGTCCAGTAAAGAGACAGGATGTAAGTGGGAAATGTCCTGGTCTAAACTAAAGAACCTGCCTCTTGCACCATAGCTAAGGCATCACAGATAACACTTCTAAGCGTAGTTGGCTTAGAAAGCCACGAGGATCACTCACGGGCATAACCTGGCAATGTGCTGGCTGGCTGTTCGCAGGATTGTATTCAAAATTTGCATGCACCCACCTATTCATACACAGAATTAGTTACTCACGGGGCAGAGTCCACAGGGCGTCCTGACTAATCCAGTGGGTTGTATGAGAGGACTAACGGCTCTGTACAGCTTCATCTGTCCATCCACACTGCCTACCGTCCCCTCCTTTGCAGCAATAATAGTCATCTCCACTTTTCCATCATATATTAGTGTATTTAAGATGGTTTCAATGTCTTCCATTGACAACTCTACCTAAGAAATAATTTGTAAAATAAATATTAGGAAAGACGCATACCAATAAGTCCTGCAAGGAAGAAATGAACAAATACCATGAGTAACAAATCCTCAGAGTTCTAATCTAGCCCAGATAAAGGCACCGCTCTCACTGGGCACTTTACACGGTTGTGCAGATACAAAAGGAAAAGCAAATACCAATACCTCCTACTTCCCAAGTACTTTTGGATTACACTATCCTTGGCTTGCCAAAAAGAACTTCCCTATGCACCTCCAGCGTCTACATTACCCTAGCATGATATGTTTCCAGTTTTACAGGAAAACAATTGTGAAAGAAGACAGACAGACTACTGAAGAGATGCCTGTTGATGGTGACCAATAATTGTGGGGGTTTTTTCCTCCTTTTTTTTCCCCCTCCCCTAAAACTGCTTGAGGTGCATAGGCAAACTTGAGAGAAATTAAACCGGTTGAGATTGTTAAAGGAAAACTTACGCCAGTTCCCATCAAGAAGGATGTGAATGCTAATTCTTCTATACGCCTTTGAAAACCCACATGTACAAACTACCCTGGAGTCCCATGCAGCACCAACGACCCTCCTCAAAAAGCAATAAAGCAGCAAAGCCCACTTCCAGTGCAGTAACTGTAGCACTTATCGGGCCCTCACCAAATTTTCAGGACCCAGACTCTGCAGCTAGTCATGCACTGAGAATTTTGAGAGTAGTAAGATGAATCTGTTCTGACCTTACTGATACCCAGTTCACAGATGTATTTCCACACCTCATGGGATGAGGCAAATGAGCTGTTCCTCTGTATCATGGGGTTCTGTTTGCTTTCTCGAGCTGCTTCTGCCTGAGAAAAAGCAAAGATGAGTTATAGTCAGTACTCACTGCCAAGAGCCTCCTTCGTGGTTCAGTTTCAGGCAGACCGAAGTATAAAAGCTGATTTCCAAACCATTTCTGGGACATGTTTTTTATTTAGCATTTAAAGCTATGCCCTTAAGACTGAAGTGCATGAGACAACACAGTGCACAACCAAACACAATTTTACACTACATATGACACAAAATTTACTCAGTGATTTAGATTAATATAAAGGAATACCAGCATCTGGCATTTTTTGACAAAGAAGTTTCTGCTATACCTAGTGCCAGTTAAAATATATTTTAATTGAATAGAGAAATGTTGCAATCTGCATAGGACTCATTTAACAGAGAACAGGCTTCTCCTCCAGTTATACTAGAGAAAATTGTCTTCTAGGCAGAGCTGACTGACTAGTGCCTTTCCACCCTCTCAGAAATTAGGAGCTCTGCAGGGAAAACCGTGACTTTTGCTAGGTTTTTTGGTCCTGTGCTCCTTGCTGCCTAGCTTGTCATTGGACTTTGGAGACGGAAGGCTTTGCTCCCGTACAGGATGTGAAAATATGTGTTATTAAAATGCAACACCATCACACTTGCTGTGACAAATACAATCCAGTACAGATTTGCCAATCCAGTTATAACAATGGCCAACACTTATGGAAAACACTAGGGAAAACTTAAGCCTTGCCTGTCACTAGTTTTACAAAGACAAGAATTACTTGCACAAAACAAACAGAAGGTAACTTTCATAGCAGCACTCACCTTGCTCTGTAGAAATTTAAAACACTGTTGATTTAACACCTCCACAAATTCAGACTCAAAGTCTTGGTCACTGTACCAAGCCCCACCAGTCACTGACCGGTCAGGCTGCAGGTTATATAGCATATACACCTTCTTCTTGGATGCCTGTTAGAGAAAAGCAAACAGCTCTTAACAGCTCTAAGTCTTCCATAAGAAAGAAAGATTTTAAAAGATATCTGCAAAAGAGATAGTTCATTACTCCTAAAACCTGGGGCACAGCAATCCAGCTGACTCAAGCTATCATTAACATGTTTGACCCACAGGTAAGACAGAGATAAAGGGAAGATCAGTACATTCAGATTCCTAATAATTTTGTAACATAGTGTTGGAAGAGAGAATCCTACTAGGAATGTGCACACAATACAAACCTCACTGAAGAAGATCTTGGAGTTTAACCTATTGACTGTAATCCCCCTCCACAGTTGAAGGAGGGCAGGAAAGTGTCTTTAGAAGACAGCAAAGACAAACTTAACAGAAAAGCTTACAACCGTTTCTGCAAGAGACAACCCATGCACTGATGACAGGAGAACCCTTACATGATTAAACCCTGCAGCTAAAGTTAGCCCTTGTGAGCCCAGTCCTTACTGCCACACCTAGAGGGGGTGAATGGGAATGCTGCTTCAGTCCTGATGTTGGCAGTCAGACAGTTAAAGGACAACGGTCACCCAAAGGACTACTCAGCAACCACTGAAGCAATTTTAGCAGCGTCACATCCCCTGTATGACTAGATGAAGCCAGCATCTCTCAAAAACATGAAAAAGCTACTGCTTCTTTATGTCCAACTTCTTTATCTCCATTTTATTTTTATTTAGGAAGTTACCCTCACCTCTCACTCCCCCTCAACCCCCCCAAAAATGCACACATAAAAGCCAAGGTATTGCCCTCAAGGTGCAGATGAGACTGCCACATAGAAAAAGCACACAACATAAAACTTCCAAGAGTTCACAAACAAGTGGTCTTCCTGGTGTACCAGGCCCTGCAACAAGACAGAATCTCTGCTGGAAACCAGGAGAATGTCCAAAGACTGTGCTAATACCAATGATTTGTAATGAAGTGGGTAAAGGAAAGCAGGATGCTGCATGAGCATTACAATAGAGCGAGAAAAAGAATGGAAAAGGATAAGCCCTACTCTGGTACGTGGACTGTTTGCACATAAGATAAGAAAGTACGTGAGTAATTAGAACAAAGTAGAGGAACCAAGACTAAAACAGAATCAAATGTCTTAGAAATTGTTTAAAGTAAACAATACAAATCCAGCATGAACCAGATAACTGAAGGGAGTTTCAGGATCTCCACGGGAGAGGAACGTGGCAAGGCCACTTGCAGCTAGGTAACCATATCACTAGTCCCATATAAAAGGCTGAGATTGCTTCAGCATCAGAAATACCCAATTGTGGTACAGCAACATTGGGACAAAGAAAAAAAGTAATTGAGAAACAATTGAGAAAAAGTAATTACAGGCAGGTTGCTTATTTGGGTGGAGACTGAGCGAAGAAAGGAGAAAAGGGTGGTAGGAAAGAAAGTTAAGAAAAAAAAAAAGAGAATAAGGTATAAAAATCAGAGAACAAGAGAGGGCAGGATCTGCAGACAGCAGAAGTGTGGATGCCTATGGACAGCAGAGAAGCTGACCTGTGGACCCAAGCCCATTGGTACTCTGGAGGGAAACCCACCAGACTCTTCCCTAGGTTTATGTCCTAAAGACCAGGTATGGAAGCGCAGAGAAAATGGTGACAGAATTGCAGATTAGTAGTAAGCAGTGTAAGAGGTAACAGAAGTGAAGGGTAACAGAACTATAACAACAGTTGTGTGCAATAAAGAATTAAGAGAACTAAACCTGCAATTTGATAGCAATGGTGTGTAATTAGTAGTGGTGGGAAGAGTGATAGAACTGTATATTAATAGTGATGTGTTTATGAATTACATTATTAATCAGTTTGTTAGTAGTATGTTGATTATTTAGTAAACATTATAGCCTCCCGTATCTGTTGCACCTCAAACCTGCACACTAAAGGCAGAGAGTCAAATGCTGGTGCATAGTCAGTGTGAAAGCTGGAGGCAGAACGAGGTTTCTCTGCTCCCAGTCTCCTGTTCAAACATACACAGCATGCAGCAGACATTTGAAATGGTTTAAAAAAAAATGTCACAAAATACTCACTGCCACAGATTTTACTGCTTTAATTAGTTTCTTGCTTTCCAAGTTTTTCAGTATCTTGTTGATCTCCGTTAAAGGCAAATTACTTTTGTATCTAATGTCCCTGCTCCAAATACCTGTTTTAAAACAGAGAAGTGAATGGAAATGAATAGAAGAAACCATTTGTTTTCGTATGTACTCACAAACCAAAAGTCACATCACAACATTGCTTGACTTCCTTGCCAACATAGGATGCATCCTCGATCCTACCACTCCTGGCAAAAGGGAGGGAAGGGACAGAAGGTGATGGGACAAAAAAACAACTGACAAAACAAGAAATGCATACCACAAGTATACTGTCCTTCTGCCCTTTACCTCTCCTCCGAGAGCTCTTACAAGTGGACCCCAATTCACGGCCAACATGAATATATCACAGAAATGTTCTTGCATTTTTAGGTAACTAGTGTTTGCTTCAACAAAAATACGACAGCCCATTCTACCTGCCATCTCTCAACCACAGTGTGCAACGACTGCTGAGAAAGCCCAATTAACTAGCAGTGGTTTCTGCTGGCAGTACACTTGTTAAATCCGATATAGATATTACATTTTCTTTTAAGCGGTAAGTGTTCTGGGGATGCCTCAGCTTGACAGTCCCATAGATAAATCGTAATTCATATTCCAAATATTCTGAAAGAGCCCCCCCCAAAAGCCAACCAGGTCAGGCTGTTACTTTAAGAGAGAAATATGTCATCTTCTCTTTTGTTTTTAAAAAGTGGACACATGGAACATTAGCTACAGACCTGATATGGGGACTCTAGATTTTATATTATTCGTATTATCTGGATAAGCATTTAAAAGTTTGGACAGGAATGGTTCCATAAGTAAACACAGTACCATTCACAATCATAATTTAAAGTACCTTTGTTGCCTGCATCTTCTATAATTTGGTAAACCAGCTTCTCTTGATTGTCAGAGCCTTTCATTTTACTGTAAAATAAGACAGACATCAGGATTTTTGAAAGGTCCAAAATTTGAAAGAAGTTTGATTTGTTTTAAACTGAAAACAAGTACCATGAATAAAACAATGCACAAAGGAGAAAAAAAAACAAAAAACAAAAAAAACAAAAACAAAACCCACACAATAAGCCAGCCATTGGCAAATATAATATATGACACTAAACCTCTCTGGATCAAGCCAAGCTTGCCAGTGAGAAGCCACAGTAAAGAGAAAAGAGCACAGTATGAAAGAAAAGTGACTCAGCAGGAGTCACTCAACTTGTCATAACAATGGGGAATTTGGAGTCATGTACTAACACAACTGTGGAAGGTCAAACACAGCATGGAGCATAATTTAGGATAATCCGTCTCTAGACAGAACATCTACAAAGGGATAGTAGTGTGCTCCCCACTCTAAAACATGCCTTTTCACTGGTCTGAGAAAGCCTGAACTCAGCAATCTTTTTCTAAAGCACTTGAAAGAGGATGACACGCCTGCGCTGAGGATAATTTTGAAGGCTATTTCTTTCCAGAAGTATGTCTAAGGCATCTTTTACTCAGATTTACATAGGCATCACAAGACATGGTTTGAAGGTACATTTTAATAAATCAAAGAGCATGAGTAGCAGTTCAAGTGGCCTCCTGGAACAGCTGTAAATATGAGCGCTGATCCTGTAACAGGAGCAGTGAGGAAGACCACAGAACCACAGTTTGCAGACGGTATGCTCGGGCTTCAGCTGGATTCCACCTGAGCATATACATATATATGTGTGCACACATCACTGTGCTGTCATCTGGACCAGGAACTCTGCTAGCAAGTTAGAGCTGTAGTCCCATGGCACCCTCTGTTCAGTAGAAACCACTATATCTAAAATAGTTTTCAGGATCAGCTTGGGGGGGTTAAATGTACCCTCCTGAAACAAGCAGTTATGTTCTGTAACATCCATGTTACAGAATCCATATTACATTGCTGTCTTCTCAGCAATGCTGTACATGTTGCGGTTGTGTTCCAAATATATTTTTCCAGCAAACGCCAGGCTTACCTTGCATTTTGAGACTCTTTGATTCTATATAGGAGACCTGCATTGCTCCTGAGAAGGTCCAGTTGCCCCTAGGAGAGATGGGCACAATGCATTTAGTTTCCTTCAAATAGCTTGTTTCAGAACGTGGCAAGAATCTTCTAAACTTCTAAAATAAAAACCTTATTTCATGTTAACTGAATAAAGAAAAAGGAAAACTAACATTTCTAACCACTGGAAGCAATAATACCCTTGAGAATATTTTTCCCCTGTAAGTACAGTAATACCCTTGAGGATTTTTTTTTTCCCCTGACAAGTATCCAGTTATCATCAGCTATGAAAAATAACAAATACAGTTCCCGACCTTCCCCACAACATCTATGCACTTCCTATTATTTCTCCTAACCTTCACCATTGCACGAGGGACATCAAGTTCTTGTAAACTTTGCTCTTCCTTTCCACCAAAACACTTCTGTGCACGGCTACCCAGGAATCATGTTGGAGCTCTACTGAACAAGTTTTGAACAATTCTGAGTTCCAGTAGCAAAGTTCTACTTTTTCACTAAGTAGAGATCATTGGAAAACTGCCAGCCAGGACTGACAGTGTCTCCGAGAGGCAAATTACTGGCATTTCACACACAAAAAACATTTGTCCTCCATGACTTGACACTTGTGCCTAGGCCAGGCAAATTCTTATTTCCTATTTTGAAGAGACAAGCAATTAGACAAGCCCAAGAGCATAACTGTGTACAAGTGCATTAACTAACATTCAGTCTTTCATTGCCACCTAATCCTTTCCCCATAGTTACCGCCTTGTTTCTTATAGATTTGCATTACGTGGTTGATTGGAGCTCACACCTCAGGATGATCCCCTTCAACGCTTTTCTACAGATGAAATACTTGCAGCTTATCTCAAGTGAAGTACCCGAGCCTTATTAAGGCTGAGGTCTCACTGCAGTTTTTCCCCCATATTTGAGGTACTTACTAGATCTCCCCACGCACTCCCCAAGGCATCATATTTTAAACAAATTCTAGATACCTAACTATCTTTGAAGCCTCATTGTGAAATTTGGCCAGCCCTTTCAAAAGTTATTGAACGCACAAGCTCACATCCAATGTATTGATAAACCTCACATCTATAAACAGAAAGACCAAAAAGAGACAGATTAGATTACGTCCACTGCCACCTAAAATGGTCCAAGCTAAAAAGTTTCAATTATTAAAAAAAACCCAAAACACCACACTACTCAGTTTGGATACTTTCCAACATCCTTCTTTTTGAGAAAGCAAGTGCCCCTCTTTTCAACAGTGCTCTCTTGACTGCACCACTCAGTCTGCTTTATTTCCTGACTTCACGCGCCCATGAAGCAGCTAGCTACGGAACCAAAAGGAATCTTGATCTTTAAAGACCCTGAACATTTAGCTGATACTCAAGTTTATGCCACACTGAACCAACAAGACTAAACAGCTACTATCTATTCCTGAACACGTGGCAGAAGTAGTTACTGTGATCCTCACTCTTATCGTAGGCTGACTCCTGATACAGTAAAGTGAGATGTGGGAAATTTACAGAAGATGCAAAAAAATCCCTTGAGATGTTTCACCTGCATATTATCAGAGTAATCCACAACTTCAGGATTTTGTGAAGGGTGTGGAGAAGACCTTCGCATATAAGAGCATGGGCTAACATCCATTCTTTTATCTCTACCTAATTCGTTCCCCATCATTAATGGGCCTTGTTATCACCTGTGGCCA